GGAGGGAGAGGTAGGGAGAGAGGGTGGAGGGAGACAGGGAGAGGGAGACAGGGAGAGGGAGGGAAGGAGAGGGAGGGAGAGGGAGGGAGGAAGAGAGGGAAGGAGGGAGAGGGAGGGAGAGGGGAAGGGGAGGAAGAGGGAAGTGGGACATGGAGGGAAAGAGGGAGAGAGAGGGGGGAGGGAGGGAGAGAGGGAGGGAGAGAGGGAGAGAGGGGGAGGAAGGAGAGAAAGAGAGAGGGTGGGAGATGGAGGGAAAGAGGGAGATGGAGGGAGAGAGGGAGGGAGAGAGGGAGGGAGGGAGGGAGAGGGGGAGGGAGAGAGCACCCACTGAAACGAATGCCAGTGATGGCTGGGGAGCCCAGGGAGGCCCCAAATGCAGTGGACTCAAGACGTATATCCCGCTCCACAGTGCTCCACAGCCCTTTCTAAGGCAGTTTACAGAGTCAGCCACCTGGCCCCAACCAACCAGGGTCCTTATTTAACCGACCCCGGAAGGAAGGAAGGCTGAGCCAACCGTGAGCTGGTCAGGATCGATCTCCTGGCAGCGGGCAGGGAGTCAGCCCCGCAATGCCGCACTCTAGCCACCGGAGCCCGGCTGAAACCCGGAGCTGCCCAGGAACGCCTACCTTTTGGACTTCATCTGCTCCCTTAACTTGCTCTCCATCTCCAGAACTAGCAGGAAGAAACGGAAACAAACGAGAGAGGTCAGGAAAGGGAAGGGCACCGCCAGGCGCCTCCTCCACCCTCCTCTGCAGGCCTCTCACCGGGAAGGCACTGGCTGAGTTTATCCACCGTGGCGGAGATGTTCCACTGCTGCAGCCGGCACTGCCTCAGCTCTTCCATGGCGCCCACTAGCTGCAAGAGAGACGAGAGGGGGTGTCATCATCGCGGGAAGCCTCGGCTCCTCATCCCCAGCTCTGCCGAGGTGCCGCTCAGAGATCCCAAGGCGAGCGCCGGGACCACCTGCGGGCCCGCCCAACTCCGCCAGGCGCCCAGGCAGGCCAAAGGGGCAAGGAGCCGGATGGGGCAGGGCTCGGCTGCTTAGGGGTCATGTGGGCTGCTGGACACCGGCTGGGTGTGGCTAGGTGGTCATGTGACTGGGTGGGGTGTGGCCAACTCGACCTTGCTTCTTTGCCCTAATTACCTAAAAAAAAAAAAGATATATACCAAAAAATTGTTTATTATTTCGTGCATTTAATACTTAAATAAAAGACTGGGTGAAACCAGGATTAATAGCAGCGAGTGTGAGAGGGATCTTGGAATTTCTGGTACAGTTATGTGATTCTTGTTATTTGGGAATAAATCCCCTCGAAGGCGAGTGGCCGTGTTATCTGATTTTTCTCCATGGCTCTCCCTCACAAGCGCTGAGTGGGTTGTTTATCTAGCTTGCAACAATTTGACGAGATGTGAAATGCTCTTGGCTGAATGCCCAGAAGTTCAATTGAGCCTATTAAGAGCTTTCCCTTGCTGCTTGTCTTTCTGAAGTTATTGGAGGCTCTCCGAGCCCCACAGAGTCGTAGGTAGGGCCTGCAAGCCCCTGGCAGCGCATCCAGCCCTCTGATTCTTGGCTCCACGTTCACCGTTTTCCTCTGTATACACAGCTGTGCCAACACGGGTGTGCAGCTTTGCGAAGGACAAAAAGCTACAACGCTGCCGAGAACATTGAAAACCTTCCTCCAAGGCAGCTTCATTTCAGGACTGAGGGAAGGAGGACCCGAGGGCCGAGCTGAGGCTGAGGGAATGTTTGGATTTTGAGGCCAAAGAGAGGCACCCCGAGAGCCCTTTGAAGGAGGAGCAGAAAAGCCTCTGAGGAGGTTAGAAGCGGAGGGATGGGGACTGAGGTAAGAGCAGGCGTTCGCAACACCTTTCGGGGGGAAAAGCAGATTCCAGCAAGGACACACATCCATGCCCGAGCCAGAAAAACAGATTTGATTTGTCAGCTGTTCAAGTCGTGGAATAAAACACAGGCAGTCCTTCGCTTCTGGCCACTCACTCAGCAACTGCTTGAAGTTACGTTGAACTAAGAGGCTCAAAGGCCCAAAACCTTTCTGTCATTTTGCAGCGGCCCCTACAGTCACGTGGTTCAAAATTCAGCGGATGGCAGGGGCCCTTCAACTCTCCTCTCCCCGTCTCCCCCCCGCCCCCGCCAGCCTGTCCTTTTGGGAGCTCCACCCCGTGGCACTCAGCAATGGCTCAGAGGCCTTCAAGCAGCCCTGACGCCACTCTTCCCACTCGGAAATACCGCCTAGGGAATCGGTTGTCCCACATTACAGCAATCCTGCCCAGCACCTGTGGCCCTGCTGAGCCCAGCTGGCATTTTCCTCTCGCTGCTGCTGAGGCACCCACTGGTCCTGGTTCCTTCCGCCTGCGAGGCGCTGCTGGCTACACCGGGCCTTCTTCCCAACACCCTTTGTACCATTCCCCACACCACATGCCTTGTGCTCACGAAGCTTTGGAAAATCTACCACACACACACACACACACACACACACACACACACACAAGGTCTCTCTAAACATGGTGAGAAGGGAAGGCCAGTGATCCTCCCGTGTGGAGGAGGAGCGGCGTGAACAGCCTCGGGAGCAGGCCCGGCAAACTGCAGGAAGGCCAAGTGGGCCCTCCTGTAGGAGGGAAAAAGAGCAAATGGCAGCCAACGGTGGCAGGCACAGGGCAGCAAGGGTGGCCAGGCCACAGCTTCGTACTGTGACAGAAATTCTGGGCCCGGCTGCCGTCGTAATCAGCCGAGAACCGCCTGTAAATAAAAATTGCCGCAAAGGCTTCGAAGAGAGGAGCCGAGGCCTCCTTACTTGCTTGCTTTCCAGCTGCAGCTTCCGATTCGTATCCGTGACTTGATTCTGTAAAAGAAAGCCGTGGCTTTGTTAGTTTTAGCCCATGAAGCAAACCTTCCCCTCTCCACCCCGCCAGTCCCCCTGAGTTTCTGGGACGCAAATTGGATGGATGGATGGATGGATGGATGATAGATATATAGATCAGAGGTGGGCAACGGTGGCCCCTTTAGGACTTGTGGACTTCAACTCCCAGAATTCCCGAGCCGCTTCAAGGGCTGCTCGGCCATCTTCTCAGCACCACCAAGGCTAAAGTGGAGGGTGGCCCTCAGAAGCCTTCCCACCCCGGGCTTTCGGCTGCTGCAACCACTGCCGAGTTGCACTTCCGGTCCCTCGTCTGCCTTCCCCCTGGTGACTAATTTTGGGCTCATGAGACCTCCAAGGCGCCCCGTGCCACTTGCACCCGCCTCTGGCTGACACGCCCCTCCCCCCCCCGCAATCCCTTACCTTGAGCTTCTGGGCCTCTGCCCGGACCTTCAGGAACTCCGTGATGGAATCCACAAAGCCCTGGTAGTGGAAGTTGCACATCTTCTCGATTTCCCGGTCGTGGTTCCGGATGCGAGCATCCAGCTTCTCCATGAAGCGGCCATGTTCTGAACCGTCATAGACAGACCTGGATAAAGAGGGATGTGTTAAGGTAGCTTTAAACCCTGAATTCACCTGCTCTCTGAGTTCACACAATACACAGAATCATAAACACTGGAACTAATCGAGGAGAGAAGCAACTTGGAATTCAGAAGAGACTTCCTAACAGTAAGGAGAATTAACCGGTCGAACCGCTTTGCTTCCAGAAGTTGTGGCTGCTTCATGACTGGAAGAAGAAACTGGACAGTCACTTATCTGAAATGGTATTGGGTCTCCGGCTTGAGCAGGGGGCTGGACTAGAAGACCTCCACGGCCCCTTCCAGCTCTATTCTAACTGATTGATTGAACTAACCCTGGAGGCCTCCAAATGTGGCAAAACCTCTGGACTTCAACTCTCAGAATTCCTCAGCCAACCATGCTCTTCAGAGGCAACAGACTTGTCTGCAATTTTGGGCAGCGGGAGGATGTCCAAGCAGGATGTCTGGTTTGGTTCTGCAACCCAACAAGACAGTCATAGACTTCGGAGGATGATTAGGACTGCCGAAAAAACAATGGCTACCAACCTGCCTTCCATCGAGGACCTGTATGTATACTGCACGAGTCAAAAAGAGGGCTGTGAAAATATTTACAGACCCCTCACATCCCGGACATAAACCGTTTCAACTCCTACCCTTGGAACGATGCTATAGGACACTGCACACCAAAACAACTAGACACAAGGAGAGTTTTTCCCCGAATGCCATCACTCTGCTAAACAAAAAATTCCTTCAACACTGTCCAACTATTTACAAAGTCTGCACTGCTATTACTGTTAATCTTCTCATCACTCCTTATCACCCATCCCCTCCCACTTGTGACTGTAGGACTGTAACTTGGTCGCTTAGTTTATTCCGCAAATGCGAGCGACTCAGTTTCTCCTTTATCCCTGAGCCAACAGCGGCTAGAAGTGGAGCCGAGAGCCAAGGAGACGGCCCATCAATTGGGGTTAGTCTAGAGACATTTCGGCACGGCAGGTGGCACAGCGTTTTAAGAAAGGCCTGTTTTGCACTGCCAGCCTCAAAGCAGGCCCTCGCCGTGCCATTTCCCCTCTCTTCAGGAGCATCGCCCCGGATACAAGGCCCACAGGACAGGCAGCCCTCGACTTATGACCACAATGGAGCCCCCAAATTTCGGTGGCTATGCGAGACAGGGGTTCGGTGAGTTTCGTAAGCCCATTTTATGGTCTTTCTGGCCACCGTGGTTAAACGAAACCACTGCAGCTGATCAGTTACAGTAACGCGGTTGGGAAGTGAATCTGGCTACGCCATGGGTTTTGTTTGTGTTTAAGATCGCCAAAGGACGTAAATACGAGTCAGCTGCCAAGCCTCTGAACTTCGATCACGTGACCAGTGGGGATGCTGCACTGGTCCTAAGGGTGAAATACGGTTCACTGACCTGCTGCACTGGTCCTAAGGGTGAAATATGATTCTACGTTACTCTTTTCAGTGCCGCGGTAGCTTAGAATGGTCACAAAATGAATCGTTGTTAATTTGAGAATGACGTCCGTTGTTTCCCTCCCAAGGGAGCAGGGGCAGAGAGATTTTAAACCGTGCTTATTTATTGCCTCCCAATAAACTTTTAAAAGGCCGAATGCCAAATACAAGGGCCCAAAATGGACAGGGCCCCTCTGGCCGCCCAGTCGGCTACTTGGGCTAATTCCGCAAGAGGTTTCCAACAAACTGGCCTTAATCAAAAGGCGTCTTAAATTGATACACTGGAATGAAAGCTTGTTTGGGCTACCCAGATGCTACGCTAACAACGGTTGAGAATCTTTATAGGTATCTCTCACGGCACATACACAAAAGGAAAAACCACAATAACCCCAGTAATGAAATGGGCCCCAAACTAACAATAGGAAAATGGCAATAGCGCCATCGGAACTAATCCAGGAGAGAAGCAACTTGGAATTAAGAAGAAACGTCTATAAACACTCTTGAATTAGTGACCTATAAAGATGATATAACTTTGTTTATTAACATTAATTAAGAACTGTGAATTAATATGGAAAAAAATATCAAATTCTAAGTGTACATATGGTACTTAGTGTACTGCCAAGAAAATGATATTGAAAGATGTTGATATAATTTCTATTACAGAAACTTTTCTAGAGCGTTTTAACATTTTGCTTTTTGTAAACTTTTTAATAGCTTGAACTTTAATAAAGTACTTTTTTAAAATTGAGGAGGAGGAGGAGGAGGAGGAGGAGGAGGAGGAGGAGGAGGAGGAGGAGAAGAAGAAGAAGAAGAAGAAGAAGAAGAAGAAGAAGAAGAAGAAGAAGAAGAAGAAGAAGAAGAAGAAGAAGAAGAAGAAGAAGAAGAAGAAGAAGAAGAAGAAGAAACAACAACAACGTACTAACAGTGAGGACAATTAACCGGTGGAACAGAAATTGCCTCCAGAAGTTACGGGTGATTCAACACTGGAGGTTTTTAAGAAGCGAATTGGACAGCCACTTGTCTGAAATGGTGTAGGTTCTCCTGCTTCAGCAGGGAGCTGGACTAGAAGACCTCCAAGGTCCCTATTCTGACTGAACTCAGGGGAATGCGGTTCATTCTGGGAGGCCAATCCGACTCCCCGGCTGGATCCCGGTTCGAGAAAGCTGCAACTGGGCGATCTGGCAGGGAAGAGGGTGCAATTCAGAAGCAATTCTTTCGTCCCAAGGAGGGTGGATCCCATTAACCCTGGGGCCTCTTGTGTCCACCAGACCCAACTGTGAAATGAAAGAGCCGGCCAGCATTCTTACAGGCTGTGCCCGGGGAAAGGCACCCGCATACAGCTCCTTTCCCCCTCCAGGTTCCCTTCCTTTCTGCCAAAGACTTTCTGGATTATTTTAAAGCCAGTATTATGAAGTTCCTCCTTCTCCTCCTCCTTAATAGGGAACAAAACAGAATTATGCAAAATAAAACCATCTGCAGTGATCCACCAGGGTATATACAACCGGGGTTTTGTGGCCAAGCTGCGCTGTTTAGCATGGGCAGCGTAAACTGGTTATAAACAGTGGCCTCCTCACCCTTGCCCGGCCGGCTGGGGACTGACAGAGGATCACAGGCTGACCAGGGAAGGGCACGGAAACGTCAGCGCCTGGCCGGGCTGCCCGGCGTGAAATGGGCACTGGGTTTTGTTTCAAAGACACACACACACACCGCCCCCACAAAATAAGGCTCTTCCATCCTAGAAGTTTTGCCAACCCATTTTAGATCAGAAGAAAGAAATCTCAGGACGTTTTGAGAGATCTACATTTCAGCCACAATAAAATCTTGGAGGGATCCCGGAGAAAACTGGGGGGCAAAGGGGAGGCTGGGCCCTTCTCCCCCCCCCCGAATTCCCTCTCTGAGCTGTTCTTCCCAAGAGATTCCCTCCCTCCCTCCGGTGCCTTCACTAAATATCCGGCTTTCCATATGACAGCGGGACCCTCCTCCCTCCGCCCATCCTTCTAGTGTCTCTGCCAGGGCCCTTGGCCCCAAAACAGCCACACTCTGGGCTGCCTGGTACAGGTACTCCTCGAGTTATGACCATAATGGAGCCCAACATTCCCATTGCTAAGTGAGAAAATTCGTTAAGTGAGCTTTGTTCCATTTTACAACCTTTCATTGGCTGCAGTTGTTAAGTTAGTTATGTCAACGGTTTCCCCGTTGACTTCGCTCATCAGAAGGTCGTAAAAAGGGGATTCCCATGATCCCAGGACCCTTGAGACC